ATCATCATCATCATCATCATCTTTCTTTCATACGCTCTTCAGTCGAAGATCGCGTGGACCTGTTAGTCCATCTGGTGCCCCGTGGGGCCGGAACCTCAGCTAAAGGTCTGGTCCAACAGCCGAGCGAGTGTTGATGCTCTGGCTGTTTCTTTCTGATGGGACCTCAACTGCAAATGCAAAATGGCGAACTGCCGCAAGCATGGGCAAACATGGTCTTCTTCAAGACCGGTGCCAAAGAAGGGCTGACAAGCGCACCACCGCGTTGGGTGGGCATGTGAAATGAAGCTCACTGCACTCTTCTCCTCCAATGGGGCAGCCTCGTTCCACCAGGTTCTATGTGCCACTTGCAGGTGCCCATTCATGTCCCGAGGCCAACTGCCGCAGGTGATGCATTTTTTCACAAGTCGGTGGCAGAGGCTGGGATTATCCACAAGGATCTTGGTGTCCAGGAGATCGAGGCTGCGAAGCCATGCTCCATGCCAGTTGTCGTTGATAGTCGGGTCATGGATGATGTTGTGCATCTTCTCCTCCTCGGTCAGGATGGGTGATTCATCTGCCATCTTTGACACCTCTTCTGCTCCGCCGTGCGGAGTGCAGTTCAGCCAAAGCAGGCAGCTGTTTTCTTGAGCCACCAGCGGTAGTGCCGAGAACTTGACCGGCTCCTTGGAGTCGTCGAAGATCCACCACCAGTCCTTGTCCTTGATGGCAGTGCAATAGTGCCCACTTGTTGCTTCATCTCCGAGATGATAGGAGACTCCGGTGACCACAAATGGGATGTAGTCCACCTCGAGCTTCTCGCCCAGAAAAAAGGGCAGCCAGACCTTAGAGTCCCATGTCAGGCGGTTCTTGCTTTTCCTCCCCCTCGAGTCGAAGCGGTCGATGTGTAAGCATGTGACATCGGAAGGATCGGTCAAGGCGTGTAACCCGAATGACGCAAGGCTCCACGTGGAGACCAATCCTTGCAGATCGATGGGGAGCGTGCTCTTTTGTTCGCTGCAGATGTAAAGATGCAAAGGGCATCCTGGGGCATTGTGGTCCACCACCTTCATGGTGCCCTCCTCATCCAGCCGGCTTTCCCAACAACAGCTGAGAAAAAAGGGATTGGTTTGCTGAAGAAGATGATGAGCAAAGTCAACCACATCATGTTGCCGAAAAGGATTGGACCAATTGGCTAGGAGTGAGGTCCACTGCCCATCTGACCATAAAAGAAGCGGTTGCCCTTTGGACACATCTGTCAATTCCCCAAGTACCCCAGGGAAGTTGGACCATTGATCCATCTTCAACCCGTCAGCATGAAGGGCACTCCAGGCTAGTCCAGTCACAGCTGAGTTCATGTAGCATGCTGCAGCTGGATTCTGAAGTGTCCGAAGAGGAGGAGTGGAGGGTTCCATCACAGTTGATCCAG